TTTGGTTATAATATACAGATGGATCAATAAGAAAATATGTGATTAAAAGTGTTGAAATTTACATTGGGTTATGATCTCAAAGAGAATTTTTATAAAATGATGTATCATTGGTATATGACACCAGATAAATTATCTAGAATGTATAAGACACTTCAAATGTATGTTGGAAATGTGAAGAACATGTAGGGACATTTTATCATGCTTGGTGGACATGTAAAGAAGCTAAAAAAAAATTGGATTCAAAAACATTTTTAAAAAATATGAAATTAGAAGATCGAATTGAACTGATGGAGAAAACCTGTTTTAAGATTGAGAAAAAAGTAAAATACTTGGTATTACTATGACAAATATGAATTGTATGCTATTTCAAAATAATTATGTTAAGACATGGAATGAAATTAAGAAGGACATGTTAAGATGGGAGAAATTAAAATTGTCACTGTTGGGCAGAATATCTGTGATAAAAATGAATGTACCTATAGAAGAGAATATATGTAGCTCAGAGTTGAACTGTGGAGTCCTTGGATGCTATCTGAACTTGGTTGTTTGATTGCAGACATTTCACTATCCGACTAGGTAATATCATTGGCGCTCCCTTATATACAGATGCTTGGTGGACATGTAAAAAAGCTTTAAAAAAATTGGATTCAAATACATACTTTGATACAGAAGGCTTTAAGGATTAATATTCAATTGAAGCCAGAACTTTTCCCTTTAGAATTAATGGATAAACAGTTAGAAAAAAGCCATGGAAGATTATTTCAAAATATGGTTACTGCAGCAAAATTATTATATGGACAGAGATGGAAAGATTTGACACTACCCACAATGGAGAAATGGTTGGTGAAATTGACAGATCTTGCTGGTCATTGACCAAATAAAGATGATTGATTTGCTTGATCTTCTGAGAAGAATAAACTAACTTCTTTGATTACAGAAAAGATATTATCTACATTTATTGGTGACTGGAAACCTCTTATGGACTTTTTGCATAAAAATGAAAAAAATGAACTTGTGATTTATGGTTTTGATGATTAGACAGGATAGATTATAGAAAGAAGACTATTATGATGTAACTTTAGGGAGAAAGGGAATAAACTAACTTCTTTGATTACAGGAAAGATATTATCTACATTTATTGGTGACTGGAAACCTCTTATGGACTTTTTGCATAAAAATGAAAAAAATGAACTTGTGATTTATGGTTTTGATGATTAGACAGGATAGATTATAGAAAGAAGACTATTATGATGTAACTTTAGGGAGAAAGGTTAAAATATAATTGTACTTATAACAGCTGTGAAGAATATCAGAAACCACCGCTTTGTATCTTTTTTATTTTCTTTCTATTTTTCTTTATCCTTCTTTTCTTGCACTTTTTGCTTTCTCTTTGCTTTCTTTTTCTTTTTTCTTCCTTCCTTTATATTAGTTTATATTAGTTTTTTCTCCTTTTTAAAAAGTTTTAATAAAAATTATTTAAAAAAAGGAAAACATGAATTTTCCCACAGTGATATAACAAGGTACAATTACATTGATTCCAAGTTATATAAATAAATTGCTAGGTCAATGTGAATTAATTATAGATTAATGTAACTCTTAAAGCAGCTGTGTATTTTTTCAGGCTCACACAAAAGCCTGAAAAAAGGTACATCTGTTTTAATAAGTAGTAGGATGGCACTGCACTCAGAGTTCCAAAGCACATCAAAGTGTTCATTGTCCTAGCCAATAGCCTTTCCAGGCAGTGGAGCCTTCTAAATGATTTCACATGTTACTGTGGGCATTCCTCGCCTCAAAACTTTTTAATAAATAAAAATAGCAATTAAAATGCCCACGATAAAGTGAGAACGTATCTCATGTTACATCCGTAGGCTATCTCAAGATTTGGGGGATTTTGTTTATTTTTTAAATTCTATGTAGGAATGTTGCTGGTTATGATCCCTTGTTCATTATACAGGTAGTCCTCACTTAGCAACCATTTGTTTAGTGACCTTTCAAAGTTACGACGTCGCTAAAAAGTGACTTATGACCTGTGCCAGAAGTTATGACTGTCGCAATACTCCCATAGTCATGTGATTGTGGTCTGGGTGTTTGGCAACCGGCATGTAATTACGACAGTTGCAGCATCCCAGGGTCTCGTGATCACCATTTGCGACCTTCCCAGCTGGCTTCCAGCAAGCAAAATCAATGGGGAACCATCTGATTCACTTGACCATGTGATTCACTTAACCACTGCGGTGATTCTCTTAACTGCCTCAAAAAAGGTAATAAAATTGGGTCCAGTCATGTGATGATTCGTTTAATGATTACATCGCTCAGCAACCTAAATTCCATTCCCAATTGTGGTCATTAAATGAGGACTACGTGTAATGAAGAACCAAAACCAGTAAGGTCAAGTACATGCAAAATAGGATTTTTTCTAAACTTTTTTTTTTTTAATTAATGACAATATGAGTTGTACAGTAGTAAAAAAGCCTGATTTTAGGTGATAAACTTAACAACTTTTCACTTAAAGCAGCAGATTTCCTGTATTAGCAGAAAAAGTTACATCTGTAATTCAATATAGTATTTTTCTTGATCTTGCATTATGAAGCAAAAAGTTAAAAATTGCTGTGGTTCAAAGTTTAAGCTTTCTAATCATTCTGTAGAGCATTCAACTCCTTTCAACAGCAGAAGAATTTGCAGTCATTAAAAGCTTCAGTTTTCAGGCAAAGTGAAAATCAAATAATAACACAAAAAACAAGAGTTGAGGAAATATTCTGAAGAATTATATTTCCACCCCTCAGTTATGATATCAGCAGCCTTACCAGTGTTCTTAGGTTGGAATTTGTGGACAAATCTTGGAAGTGATAGGATTTGTCTAAAAATTTGGCACATCAGGGTATTATTAGTTGCATAATGCTTTCAGTTACAAAAGAGGAACAGTCTTTGCTTCTTCTGAAGCATGTTGTTGATCCAGGTTTGTAACTATACAGTAATATTCAAAATAGCTGTGAATGTCTCAGCTGAATAAAGATCTCTAGTAATGAATAGGGCCAGGCAAATAAATATCTGAAATCACATTAATGGATAAAACAGCATAGAAGGAGAAACATAAAAGACTGACCAAGTCTATGGCCAAAATGGGGTGTGAGATAATTCTGAGTAACTGGACTGGCAGTTGTGGGTTGGCTGTAAACCTACTTTTGCTTGTGACACTTTAGAATATGAACAATTTATTATACTTAGAAAAGGTAATAACTCTATCTCTGACCTTGATGACCTTGGATGTAACTGTGTCTTTATTTGACAGACAGCTTATTCATTCCTCATATGGAACCATCAGGTTGCCATGAATGAAAGAGAACTAGTTCTTTGGCACAAAAGATATTTTGGCATTTTCATTTTCAAAGATTAAAACAACTTTAGAAGCTTGTTTTGGAAAAATGTGTTAATACATTGTGATGGATATTTTCTGTAAATGTATACCAGTGTACTGACTGTGTGTCAGTGTAGTTTTTGTTCTTAAACCCTGAATATTTTGTAGTAATGAAAAGTTCACAAACAAGACATTTTTTTTTTTTTAGCCAGTATCTTAAATTCTGTTGTTTAATGATACTTAACCTGGCCCCAAAACAGTCTTCTCAGAACATTGTATAATAGCTAAGACAGGTATCCAGGGCTGAATCTTAAAGTAGAGTACTATCTTAAGAATAATTCAGTTGTTAACTTCAGACTTTCTCATTATCTGCATTTGCATTGTCCAGATAAGGTTTAGATATGCTGGAACATCTGAAGAGCACCAGTTTGGGAAATGCAGATTTAAAACTTTGGATTCTTCTGTTGTGCATGAATACTATGAAGAAGCAGATTGTCCTTAAACAGTACCCTCTATATGAATAGTATTGTTTCTTATATTTATACTCAGATTTTCCACTGAAATTTGGGGAAAACTAGGCCATCATTGTTCATAGGTCTTTGACTATATGAACACTATGGGTAGAAACAGGAGCTGACAGAAATAGCTGTGTTGTCACCATAGTAACTGTGCTCCTGTAGAATATAAATTCAGTCCTTCATATATCCACTGATTGTGCAAGAAGCTGAGCTCTTAGCAAATGGTAAAAGGAAATCATATTGAGATTATGATATACAACTTACTCCATTTTCACAGTGGCTGGAAAAAATTTATGGTAACTTGGTTAGATTTGCTGTAGTAGTATTACATAGTAATATTTTACATAATAATAAATATAACTGTGGTTCTTTTTTATAACTTTTAATTATGTATTTT